CAGATGTTTGTTAAAGGATTGGGGTGGAGTTTGTGTTCCCTTCTCACACCTCTAATTCTCACTTCTGGGTCTCGCTCTTGATGTCCCTGAGGATTGCAGTATTTTTGGTCTTTTTATGGCATAATCATAAAGTGGATCAGTGGAATAAGTTTCTTCCCCTGATGTTTGTCCGTAATCGCGAGGACTTAAATGCTGTCCTTGGACCATCTCATTCAAATTGCTGTTGTGGTTACTGCACCTGACTCCTACCATCCATGCCGAAGCTGTGCCCCTGCATGTGCAGCCTTTGCAGTAAGACTCCCTGTGCACAGATGGTGTACGTGGTTGTGTTCATCATTCTCAGAAACGTGGAGCGCGGAAGAACATGTTGTACTTTGGGATTCTCAGGAATGAAAGACTGTATACAGGGAGGATTCCTTTAATTGCTTATGTTGTTAAAGCTTTCATGAAACCATGTCCTGAGCCTTGTTCCTGACATGTCCCTGGCCAGTTAAATTCAGCCTGTCTGACTGAGGCCGTCGTTACGTGTTACTGTCAGTAACAGCTCTGGCTTAAAAGCTTCTCATCTTCTACCAGGCCTCCCTGGTCAGACTTTTTCTACTTTTTCCACCTTGCTAGCCCACAGCTTTGCTACTCAACTGTTTCACAGTTGGATCTCTGGAATGATCTGGTTTAAAACATAATTCCTCTTTAGACTGAATCATTTCAGAAATCTCAGTTGAAGAGCAACCACCAACCAAAAATAGTTGAGCTGGCCACATGGAGTGACTAGTAAGCTTTTAGATCTGATCTGCTGCCCCTGGTGGTAGTGGCCTCAGAATTAGGCATCGCTTCTCCTGGGTGTGTGCTTCTCTTACTGCCTGTGACAGGAATGAAAATGTAGAAATAGGATGCTTCTCAGAATTGGACTAACGTGCAGACTTCTTTGTGTTTTATCTTCCTCATTTTAAAGTAGACTCTCCATCACTTTGTTGAAGATTAACTCCAGTCAGCTTAACCAGGCAAAGGTTTAGGTCTGGTACACGTTTGTTTGCTGCTCCATGTCATCAGGATCTGTGGCTGTGGCTTTAAAGACATGTTTTCATGTTTTCAGATGCTAGCTTGAATTAGCTTTATTGCATTTTTCGCCCAAACATTTTTTTTTCCAATGTTTTGTTAAACAACCTACAATCAAGGGAAATACTTCTGGGAGTAGCTAGAGAACACTATGGAGCTTGACTATAGTAAATGCTACAGAGAGGGTTTTTGGTTTTTTTTCCTATACTTAAAATGATTGTGTTTTGTATCTGGTAGTCTTGCTTGTAAATGTTAATAAATGTTTTTTATTGTCATTATCATTCATGTAACAGTATTCTGGTGTTGCAAACCATTAAATTAATAAAATGGGAAAGGAAAAGTGTTCAACTTAATATTTTGACAAAGTCTTACTTTTTTTCTGCCATCCTCAACTTCCTCAATTGTTTCTTTGGCTTTGTGTGATTTCAGCTTCTTACTTGAAATGTAGTGACCAAAAACAGAATTTTCTCTGAAAACTTGTGTATTGTTGATGATGGTGGAAACAACATCCTAGTAACTTTTTTACTTTTACCTAGACTATTACTGATGTTGGGGAAAATGTGGAAAATTCCAGTAAACAGGTTTGTTTCTGTTGTGTCTTACTGCTTTGCCCTGTTTTTGCTATATTGAACTTTTGCCCCATTATGAATACCTTAGGCTTTTTTACTCCTGGTGTTCTGCCCCTCCTTAATATTTCTATAACAATCAAAAAGTCTGAGTCACTTTGCCCCGAAGTTTTAAAAGATGTTAAAAACAACACAGTAGTTGCTCCATTCTTTTGATATCAATCTCTCTTTAAAATTATGTATGGAGTAATGATAATATGTAAATCTGTTTGGTTCATTCTGATAAAACACTGAGCACTATATCTTCAGTTCTGTGGAGCATTCAAATGTATGACGAGTCTCACTGAAATACAGAGCTTAAGTATTTTTTGTGTGATGAGGTTACTTGAGACCTTAGAGTGAGCCTCATGGTGCTTATCATATTTCGATTTTGAAACGTTCGGAATTCCTTTGCTAGCAAAGTACTTCAATAATACCACGTGCAGAAATCGGGGAAGGAAACCTGAGCTGTTTTGGAATTACCTAATTACCTTGTTTCTCCATTATATCGCAAGCTTTTCTTAATTTGGGGCTAGATCTAAAGAGCTGATGTTCGTAAGAGTTGTGCCAGGTGGCACAACTGGTGTTAGGAAGAAACAATATGACAACTTCTATGCATTTTAATGTATTTTTATTTCTTCTTTCCTTATAAATAGCTGCATTTATTTCTGAAAGTCAGGAGAGGGTTGTTCCGTATTTTCAAAATTATCAATTTGACTCTAATAAGATCTAAAGGTAAAGCTTGAAATCATTTCAGTGAGTTTACTCAGTGTTTCAACTTTTTCAAGTTCTTTTAGCTTGCACTGTGTCTAAAATCTTGGTAGTTTGCAACATTATCTATAGAAATATAAATAAAAATATGTTAAGCCCTAGTTTTTGCAGTGATATAATTTGTAAATCCAGCTACAGCTGCTTCAAGTCACCTTTGTGACAGAAAATTCTGTTTTCTACACTCCTGGCAGAGCTAGATGGTTCGGTGCCTACTTTTTGGTCTATACTGACAATTTGAGTTACTTTACTAATTTCAGGATATTTTGTGAAAAGTAGATTTTTATAATCAGTGCCACAGCAAAATCTCAGCATATGTCATCTCAGGAGGTCAGTAACTTGTGGCAAATCACATTGTAGCAAATGGTATTGCTCTCATCTACTTTGATTTAGTGGAGCTCTATCATTTTGTACTTTTTTTTTTTTTAAACACACCCAGGCTTTCCACCCATTATTACAGCTAGCTGTACAAAAATTTTGTAGATGGAAAAATACCTTTGTTGAATGATCTTAAGCCTTATACATCTTGTAGGCCATACATTACTATAACTCTAATGTGAATAAAATGATTAGAAGCTTGAGCTGTATGGATGTGTATTTATTATCTCCTAGACAGAATTATAAACATATTATGTTTTGACTGCTGAAAGTGTCTTTACATTGTAGGACTTCTTTTTGGTAGAGATATGAGTGTCTCCCCCAGCATAACAAGAGATTTTCTCAGTCAATGTTACCCAGCTTTCATGAGCTGTTTTAGAGTCTTGTCAAATTTGTAACTCACCCCAAGTCCATCAGTTGTCTTGTGTGTAATCAATTCTAACCACACTAAATAGGATTAATCGAATGGCAGAATGATGGTATCAAGTTACCCCTTTGGCATCATCTTCATCTGGTTTGACCTAATTAGTGGAGGTAGATGGGTGGGTTGGATTGCCCTCTGCTTCTGCTTGACTCGTAGTTCTTTGGAAAGTTCCCCTCAGGCAGTTTTAGCTGTGCTGTGACAGCAAGTACTTGATTCAATTTAACATTCATGCAGCTGAGGAGAATGAGTATTATCCCTAGTTGCATTTTACACAATGGTTTATTGTTCTTTACTCCCTAGATATCTGTAGGCAATAATCATCATTTGTTTTTCTTACCTGTATATGTTTTCATACTAAAGAGTATGTTTTGCATATGTAAAGTTCTCTGCCTTGCTGTAACATGGTATGGTACCCTCTAAATCCTAATGCTTTCATCCTGCCTATGCTTATGTATGAGCCTCCCTCAGCCAAGCAGACCGTAGTTGTCAGCTCAGTCAAAAAAAAACAAACAAAAAAATTGTCCACAATATATTTCTTGGTTGAATGGAATAGGGTTTTTGCAGTTTCCTCAATTTAGAACTTGCCTACATAAGCTGGTTGTTCACAAACGTCGAATACTGTACTTAAGTAAGCAGGATTTCTCTCTAGTTAAACTATGTCATGTGCTATTCTGTTGTTTTTTGATTGTATTTTGAGTAATGACGTGAGTGGGGCTGTCTCTTAGGAGAATAATCCAACGGGAGCCTGTCATGGAGGAATAGACTTTCTTCAAGTCTAAAGCCATTTAGTGGTTGTCTGTGGGGTTTCCTGTCTTCCTGTGCGAAACGGCTTCAAGAAGCTTGAAGGAGCAGTTAGAGAAATGGAGCGATCTGTTACCAGAGCGTGTGGGTTCTTTGAGCACCAAGGGGGCCAGCAAATCCTCTGCTGTTCCCCGCTGATTTTACCTGCCCTCAGAACTCCACGCTGTTCCAGGTGGATGAGGTTTTAATTTTTATTTCTTTGTGGTCATATATTTGCACTGTCTTCAGGTTGACGTGTTACACTTGTACGTTTCTGTTAAAAAGAACATTTGAAGACATACTTTTGTTAATGCAGGGGTTTCTCTAAAAAGAAACATTTCATATTGTTTTGGCTTGAGAAATAGTAACAAGATTTTAAGATTCTGGCTTGCAAATTATGAGAGAAAATGTTTAATTCAACAACAACAAAAAGTTTGACTTAAAAGTGCAGTGACATAGGTATTGTTTAATGATTTATCTAAGTAGTTCATAAAAGTGGACATAATTGTGTAATACAATACTATTAAACACAGATTTAACAGTTATTTGCTGGCTCTATTGGTTTTGTCTGGTGTCAGCTTCGATCTCTTAAAAATATTACAGATAATTAAAGTGATAAGTGTGCGGATTAATGTGGAAGCAGGTTACTTGAATACCCATTCTTGTAAGATGCTGAGTTTTTTCATTCTTAGATTGCATGAAGCATCTGAAAGAACATATGATCTTCACTTTCAAGTTCTTGGAGACTATGAAATTAATGTGATTCCAGGATTCTGTTGGTTTAGGAAGATTATTTTTGGAAAAGCCAGACATCGATATGTTTCTTAGAGAAGTAAACCATATTGGGAAGCAGTGGGTGATTAGTTGATGATTTTTTTTTTATTCGTTGGATGCTTCTCTTCTCATGTCCCCAGATATGTTTCTAGGAATCTGTACTGTGCTGCTTGCAATTGCTTAGTGCAATCTCAGGAATCCTGACATATTGTAGCATGAACTTGAGCAGTTATGTAGCTGTGCTAGCTCGAGAGAGGTAGGGGGGAAAGACTCTTTGGATGTGGAACTTGAATGGCCAGACCTGTAGTTTGTTATTAATGTGTTCTGTAAACTCAGAAAATTTAGACATCAGTAACTTTTTGGTCTTCAACATTAATTGTTGTACAATTAATACTTCAGCCTTTTATCTTAAAGATACTGTAGCCAACTGGAAATCAATTCAATCTGGGAAAAATAAGCTAAAGAAAGAAAAATGATTGTGAACTCGGTAACCTCCTCTTTATCTCCATAAGTAACAGGGTCTAGGGTCATGCAGTTGCAACCTTCTCACTGAAAAAAAATAGCCTGAGCTGGCAAATGGATGAAGCTGGTAAACATAAGGTGTATTGCTCTCCTGCTTTTTGGGTAGTAGTTGGTTCCTGTTCATGCAGAGTAGTGTGTGTGTGTGTGTGTGTGTGCGCGTGTGTGCGCGTGTGTGCAGAGGAACCTCCAAGGAATCTTAAAAGGAGCCTGGAAACCCCCGGAATTGTGGCATGCTTCTTGCCAGACTGCTCGAGTCAGTGTGAAGACCGATGTCTCCAGGTTCTCAGGAAAAGCCTGCTGTGACAGAGGTAGATCATTGCGTTCCGATAAGAAACAGATAATGGAGCAACGGGACACTGTTCAGAGAACACCCTGATCACTGCAGCGCTATGGAAAGTCAGGAGAAAGTAAATTCCCTCCTACAGCTCACTGTTGTCCTACATGATGCGTGATTTACTTGTGTTCTTTCATGAAGAGCAACAAATGAAGCTCCTTCAAAGCTTCAGATGGTGCAGAATGTGATTATCTTACTCGGGAAATTTGTATTCTCTTGCTGTTGCAGGTCGGGATGGTTATTCAGCTGGCTTCCTGCCTGGTGTCCCACATCACTGCTACATCTTAAAGAGGCTGAAGACAGAATGCTAAAATGTAAGTGTGTTTGTTCTTTAATAAGACTTGTAGAAATGACTCGATTTTCTTTAGTTTCCCATTAAAAATATATATTTTTAAAGTTTTTAAAGCTGCACTGTGATGAATTAAATGGGTTTAGGAATAGATTTTCAGTGTTACCTTATTTGTGATATTTGATATTAGGGTCTATGTTTTGAAAGAGATCTTCTATTTCAAACTTTGTTTTCCCTAGAATGGACTTTATATTTTATCAGTCATATCTAGCAAAATCAAAAATTTCCCCCCTTTTTCTTCAGGTATTGCAAGCACATACAACAAACGGTATGTGTACCTATCTAATGGAAATAAAATATGGACACTGACATTCTCTCCGGACCTTTCTCATAAAACTCCACTCGTTCTTCTTCATGGGTTTGGAGGTGGCATTGGACTGTGGGCTCTCAATTTTGAAGATCTCTGTGAAAACAGGACCGTTCATGCTTTTGACCTCTTGGGATTTGGCCGTAGCAGTAGACCGCACTTCGACAACGATGCTTGCGAAGCAGAAAATCAGTTTGTAGAATCCATAGAAGAATGGAGAAAGGAAGTGGGGTTAGAAAAAATGATTTTCCTCGGACACAACCTAGGTGGATTCCTGGCTGCTGCTTACTCGTTGAAGTACCCATCAAGGTATGTGAAAATAAAGGAGTGAAGGAACTAGTGTTTTTTTTTACCACAAATTTAATTTGATCAAATTCTTTTTAGATTAAGTAGATGACTACATTGGATCAAAGAAACTTAATACTGTTTTAAGCCTGAAATATTCATTGTGTGTTTTGTTCCCATATGATGTAGAAATACAGATATATTAAAACTGCTTCAAGTGTACTTTTCTGTACCTTGTTGGTTTTATTTAGCATCACCTTGCCATGCTGTAAGGCTGAATAGGAAAGCTTGTAGTTGCATGTTAATGTTTTGTGGCATCTCTGATCAAACTTAGGTTTGTCAAGGGAGAAGAGGCCTATTTCTGCCAAGCTCCCCATTACCATGGATAAAAATGCACCATTTGAACTTGTTCCCCTGAGGTAATTCATGCCTATATGCTGGCAGTCAGCCTGGTGCCAGCGTGATTATATAAAAATAATTTTGGCCATTGTTTGATTTAAATTGTCTCTATGCCACTTCATATTTCTTTGTGGGAAAACAATCCAGCTGCAGCAATGCGGTAATTGTATCCATCAGCATTTTCTGCAGACACATCGCGGTCAACAGCTAATCCATTTTTCCCCTGAAATGATAACTTGGCTCCTCTTCGACGGTGCCTGGTTATATAGCCCCTGACAAGCTAGGATACCACCAGCTGAGGCTCTTCTACAGCAAGAAAGGATATTGGTTTTGTCTTGATAAGCTTAAGTCTCCTGTTTCCAGGGTGTAATCTATGCAAGCAAGACATTTTTATATGCAATTCTTATTAACTGCTCTTTTATTGACCCGTGTGGGTCAGAATGGAAGAAAATCTATCAATACCAAAGACAATATATTAAGATGCAGTGTATTTCTGATGTAATTTATTTTTTCTAGTACATGATTACTGAGTTGGGCTAAAAGCATGAATATAAGACCAGCTTTCCAAATCTCCTAGGACATTGTATGCTACACAGAACAACTACCTTCCTTAATATGTTGTTAGTTTGCATATACATACCTTTCCCTCAGATTTGGAGATGTTAAAATAAATTCATAAATCAGTGGCTGATTCCTTCCAAGTGGGTGACAGCTGGCACATACTGCTAGAAAGGATGTTTGAAAGTAGGTCTGTGTCTAAATCTAGAATCCCAGCCAAGTGCAATTCAAGAAATGCTCTCCTGTGCTTTGGGGATATAAACCTCTTATCCTTTTGGGCATCCAGCAACTTTAGGTAACTGGAATTAGTGTCCTGCAGGAGTCACTGTACAAGTTATTTGCTCTTTTGGGGTATTTATAGATGGCCGCTGTTGCGTGGGTTTTTGTTTCTGTCATCTCATTTATATTGAAAGTGACGCTTAGGCGTTTTCAGGCTTCTCTGTGCTTAAGTGGGGGCTTAACTAATTTGAGAAGGTTTTAGTTTGTGCTCTTGCATTACTAATTTCTCTGAAGTTAAACTAACGTTCTTTCAAATTAGCACACTTAGTGGTAGGATCTTAAGACAGTATTGGATCAAGTGATAAATATAGGGCAGCCTTCAGCAAGATTATCTAGCAATGCATTAGAAGCTTAAGCAATTTGCAATACGTATTGCTAAGAGAGTAGATCTGTTTCTGCAAGCCTATTCATTTACTGTGTTGTACGAAAATTGGGCATGGAACATGATCATGCATCATAATCTGAGATTATTAATCCAAAAAGTTTCCAATATGGAAGATGCTTGGAGAGGTGGATGGAAAACGTGATTTACAAATCGTGTTTTTGGAAGTATTTCTTATGACAAACTTCTCTGTCCTTGATCATCTTTTGGGGTTGATTACCAAAAGGTGGAATGGAACATAGGAAGGATACTGTGAAGAAACCAAACCTGAAAAGAGTTTATCCTGTTTTGATTTATGAATACGTTGTGCTGCGTTTAGTCCTGAACTGTCAGTAGTGCTGAACCACTTCTCAGTGCTTGCGTTCCTTAGCCTTCCAGTCTCTCGTGCCTGTTTTTTATAGCTAATGTCCACCCAGGCCTCTCTTGCCGTTCCTGTGTGCTGCTGCGTGCAAATATATTTGTGGCTAAAACGACAGCTAAGGAACATCTTTATGAGCTTAATCCTTTTCAACCCTCCAAGTGCTGTTTTTTGTTTTTGCAAATGATTAAAATCCAAAAATAGCCTTCAGTATCACTTCTGAAAACATTTTAAACACTTAAGACAACTCTGCTATATTTAATATCTAACCTAATGGCTTTGAAAGCAAAAGAAAAGAAGCGTGAAGAAAAAAAAGTGAAGGTAATGACCCTGAACCGTATGCAAAACCACCTCAAATATGCAAAACTGTAGTGAAGAGTCATTTTTTCAGGAATCAGCAGTGTCTAGTACAGGCTTCTTAGAGTAGGTGTAATATAGGATTAAATAGAAAAGGATGATTCCAATCCACCAAGATGAAATATATTTTTTGCTTGAAGGGGACTCACGAGATGAAATGATTGATAGGTGCTTGTGCTGGAGACTCCTACTATGCTTTCTGTGGTGAGATTCCTTTGAATGATAATTCTATAAATTGTCTCTCTGAAGCTTCTGCTGTGAACTACATCAGTAAATTTAGAAAACATCGAATTTTAATCTGCCTCTCACTTCAGATTTTACTTTGATAAGATATTTTTTTAGATAAATTTACATCCCTTCTTAGAACAGAAAGCTTGTATATCTTGGAAAAGATAGACTTCAAAAAGTTTGCTGAAACAAGTTCCCTTCTCTTATCTCAAACTGCTACTGCTGCTAATACTGACTTAGTGTATGGAATAGGCCATTTTTAAATCAGAAGCAAGACTCGCTTTTTCCAAATGTTTCTTCCATTTCCAATGGAAATTGAACATTGAGCTTCTTTTTTGGACATGAACTTCCATTTTTCTTAGATCATTCTCTTTTTCCAATTTTGATGTTCTTTTTGAATTGCATGTTAAGTTTGAGATGTTTTTAAATATGGTTCCTTGAAACTGTGTTTGCAGCACAGCAGAAGACAGGTATTGGCAAGGAGCTTTGCATTCTGTCTCTCCTTAAGTAGTATTCAAAAGCAAAGTCATCGACGAATCGGATATTAGGTAATAGGCCACTATGATAGAAATGACTAAACAGATTGCATAATATAGATAGCAAGTTGTCATCTTTCTCAGTCAAAGAAAAATTCATGTCTAACCTCTGAACCTTCTCTGCCAACAGGGTAAAGCACCTTATCTTAGTGGAGCCATGGGGTTTTCCAGAGAGGCCTGACAATGCTGAACAAGAAAGACCCATTCCAATCTGGATCAAAGCCCTAGGAGCTATTTTAAGCCCGTTTAATCCTCTAGCTGGGCTGAGAATAGCAGGACCCTTTGGTGAGTGTTAGCTATTCTTAAATACTAGTTTTCCTTGGATGTAAACATGTGGGGCATATATGACTTTAAATTTTGTTGCAAGCTGTTAGCACCCACAGAGAAAAGAATTGGAGGAAGAGGTGTGAGGGCTTGAGGAAAAATGAACTCCTTAAGACAAGAGGGCAAGATCTTTCTGTTAGAAATACTAATATGATAATTTATAGTATCTGTTATAGACCTCAGTTATGGTGAGATAGATTGTGTGGACATCTGTTGGGGAGGCCTAACACAGATGCATCAATGTGAACAGATTTTTTTTTCTTCTACTTGCCTCTAGTTACAGTCCATTTCATTTCCCTTCTATTTGCAGTTTGATTGACAAAGAGCATTTCCACATTAGGATAATGTTAGAATACCATCTCATAAATGTGCTTTTTCTTTGGCCTGAATTTAGAGAAATTAAGCCAAAACTGTTACCTTTTTTTTTTTTCCTGTCTGCTGTTTTCCTCTTAGCTGTGTTCTGCGTTACAGTGGCAGTTTTGTGCTTCTTTCTCCATCTCTTCAAAGGCACTGATGACATGTTAAATAAACTCTACATTTGCCCTAAACTTAGGAATAAATGCACATGACACAGGTGACTGGAAATAGTAAAGTTTTTATTTTGCATGGAGTGGGGAGGAAAGTACAATAAAAACCATCATTCATACCATTCCATCTTGAGGGAAA